ATTAGTACATGTATATCAATCATTTTATTGTTTTCTTGAAAAATTAATCACGGTGCATGGAACTATATAAAAATCACACCTCCATTTATGGTGGTACATGTACCTGTAACAGGCAGCTTTAACCGTTCCAGGAAAAATCACTCTGGAATGTTTATTTAAAGTACAGTGTATATTATTGGCAGTTCATAAATTCACAAGAAAACTTGACTAATAACTAATAATTTGACAAACATAAGAACATGTGTACAATTAATGTTAGTCAGAGATGCTGACAACTTCTGATCAATTGCTTGTATGTATATCTGTTATTATTTATTAACAAGGCAGCTACTTTATGATTATTATAAAATATTAAAATACTATTAAAGAAGTAAATAAAAAGTAAAGAAAATTTAAAACAAAACAATTTGTAAGGGGGGAAAAATCATTAAAAGCATTTTAAACAAAGTGTTGCTGTTTGTTATGTTTAGGGATATAAGTGAGAATGAACCTGAAAACCAAAGTGATGATGATGATGATGATATGAGTGGTTTCATTGTTGATGACAATGAAGATTTGGAAAATGTTGCTATCTCCGATGGTGATGATAATCTAGAACTGGAATCTGAAGATGGTGAATATGAAGAGAAATATGTAGAGATGGATGATGATGAATATCAGGTACCTTTTAATTCATTTAGTAAATTTTTTTATTGTGTTTATTTTTTTCTCTCCTGTGTGTTACATGTAGTTATAGAAAAATTATTTAATGATCCAGTAAAAATGCACTTTTGGGTACTCAAAATTATAGAACATACTTTAAGTCTACAACTCCATATTGTCATATAACTACAGTTAATTGTCTAATTTGATGAACTTTAGTGATTTAATTAATTAATTTGAGGAAATTAACTACTAAGACTAGAGTCACAATAACAGCCTATGCTTAACGGTAAATAGAAATTTCTTATAACTATACAGCTGAAGAATTTTGTTGTTGAAAAGAAGTTACTCTCCAGTGAGAAAGTCATCTCTAGTGTCTGGAAAAGAGAAGGAGAACTGCTGCATCAGTATAAAAGACAAGAAACTGATTGCCATGGTGATGACCTTGATGATGGTGATGAAGAGCTAGATATCTTTGAAAGAACTGATGAAGTAAGACAAGCCACTTCATTACCTTCTTACAGTTTATATCATAGAAAATGTTGCTCACTTGGTGTATATGCTCCCTGAACATTTTTTTTAATGTTCATTTTACTTATTTATTAGACTGCAGATTATAGAACGAAAGGCAGGAATCAATATCGACCTATCACTGTTCAGTGGCTACATGACAAGGAAAGAGAAGAGAATACCGCCATTCAAGTGATATCTTGGGACCCTCCAATATCAGTGGAAGTCACTGATGAGTTATTGCCAGGTACAAGTACTTTTCATTCACCCATCTACCCGTTTCAATTACTATAGGTTTGATGCAGTGAAATCAAAGAGCCTCTAATTTGTCAAGGGGCTGTAATCAGAGCTTTTCTGTCTATAGTGAGTACCAGATGGTGCTTGATTTTGGATTAAAATCATATTCAGGGTTTTGTTTGTGACAGGTATCTAAGTTTAGTTTTGACAGGTATCCAGGTTTTGGTTGGACAGGTATCCAGGTTTTGGTTTTGACAGGTATCCATGATTTGATTTTGACAGGTATCCAGGGTTTGATTTTGACAGGTATCCATGATTTGATTTTGACAGGTATCCATGATTTGATTTTGACAGGTATCCATGATTTGATTTTGACAGGTATCCAGGATTTGATTTTGACAGGTATCCAGC